CGAGAGCCGGGCGTGCTCGACGACGGGGAGGCGATGTTGATGCTGGATTGCAGTTCAGAGGTGAGGTTTGGGGAAGGTCGGCCTGTTGTTTCTGCCTTGCCGGGAGCCCAGCTGCGGAACTGCGTGAAGTGCAGTTTGCCTGGAGCTGCCGCTAGATAGGCTGGGGTACTGCCGCTCTCGATCAGCATTTCTGGTTAAGAGATTAAAAGCCGAAAAAGTCATGCTCGGATTGCTTTTTTTTTAAAAAGGGCGTTCTCAAGGAACGTAAAGGTCCGATGAGTTGCGAGGGGGATGTTTTCTGCTGCGATGCAGCGTTCTTAAGACTTGCCGTGGCTTAGACTGGCAGTAACGTTGTGCTTTTTTTCTTTTTTTTTGGTACCTTGTTTATTTTAGTCTGGTAGTTTCAGCAGTCTGTTTGAGGCGGGAACCGGTGTGAACGCACCTGCAGATGCCTTTGGCCAGTCTCCAGCTCACTTGGCCGCTTGTGCCGGCGAAGCTTTTTTCCTACTTTGGCAACTGCAGACAGGAGCAAATTTGAACCAACAGGTAAAAATACAGAAGTTTTGTTCTCCCACTTCTAATCTGGCATGTCAGTAAATCCAATTTATAGTATTTACATATTTTTTTAATCTAAGAGAGGTTTTATATACACAGTTATATTGCATGAGGTATCTGAGGTTGCTTACTTCAGAGTAACTTTATTCTAGCATGAACCAGAAATCCCGTCTATATTGCATCAGCGATTTCATTTGGTATGTATAATGCTATTTTCACACCTAGAGCGCTGCACGCAGATGTCAAAAGAACTTAATTCTTTTACACAAATGAGTATTCCTTTCTTCTCTGAAATTTTGCCCCTACTTCCAGTAAACATAAGGATTCTTCCTCTAGCTGCAAAGCTTAGTCTGCTTATACCTCTCAGCTGGTAGCAGCAAGTTGTTGGTCACAGCAGTCCCTGAATGGTGCTGAAAGATGCCGTTAATCGGTGTACAGAGCGCATTCTGTGTAAATGATCTTTTAGAAGGTAAAGGTTAAACGACGAGTATCGCATGGGACAGTATTTCTACTTTGCTGTGATGAATACACTAAACATTCAGTAGCAGTTACCGGGTACGCTTTACTGGCTGTATTCCTTTAATCTCTTTCTCAACTCACAACAGACTGGTATACAGAGTAACGCTCCGTAAACAGCCCTGTTGGAGAACAAGATAGCCTCATCCTATTCCCCTTCCTTCAAATGACTGCTATATATAAATTGTGTTTTTAGGATTGCCTTGGAGAAGCCCCGATTCATAAAGCAGCAAAAGTTGGGAGTTTGGAATGTCTTGCTCTCCTTGTTGCTGGCGATGCCAAAATTGAGTAAGTTGAGCTACATTTAGTCATTTCAGTAACAGTGTCAAAGGATACGTGTATTTTACACAGCGCTTTTTCTTGTTCAGAGTGTGCATGCTAAGACTGTAAATATAGCATGACTGTAGTCCTAAGAGCAGTATTAAAAACTGCCATAAACACCAAAGTAGCATAGACCATATGCTGTTTAGCTCCGTGTTAGACCTCTACAGTAACTGCTAAAAGAATATTCCGCATCGTAAGTTCTCCTTGTTAGTTTTCCATTCTGACTAATGCTGTGCTCACCTTCCTCTTGCCTTTCTGATACACTGACAGTCTGATGACAAATTTATTTTAAAATAATTATTCCTTGTTGCATTTAATACCAGCCCTCTGTATGAGTAGAGCCCCACACTATCCTTGACAAGCCTCCTTCTGTACTTATTTTTATACCTGTCTGAAATTACCACTTAATTAATCTTGATCAGTGCTCGCTCATAATATATGTTCCAATTTAATTGAATGGTTATTGTTAATTCTGTGTTTCAGCTTGTGCAACAACAGCGGACAGACAGCAGCAGACCTTGCACTGGCTTACGGCTTTCTGGAATGTGCCAAGTTCCTCACAACAATTCAGCACACTCAGACAATGAAACTGAGAGGACAGTCTGGGTACTCACTGAGTGACAAACGTGGCTTGCTGAGAGAGGATCCAGCTGCACAGAAACAAGAAAGTGAAACCAGCAGATCCATAAGCAGGAAGAGGAGAAGATCGGATGGTGTGTAATACTGTTGGTTTACTACAATTCAGAATACATATATATATTTTTTTTAATGCTCTTAGCATTTAAGTAAATAAATTTGGTGTTAGATACATAGCGGTTGGATTTAGAAGCCTGCTAGTAAGGATCAACTTGCACAAGCATTTAGGGTTATGGTCTTATCAAAAATGGATAGTGCATGGGGAATTCCACTGAAAAGGCTACTTTAACATGGGGAAAAAAAAAAAGAAATCATAGGTACTTTTACTGATGGAGTAACTACAGCCTTATTCTTGTTTGTCCATATGACAGATCTTGTCTCCTAGCTGACAAAAGCAACAGCTTGTAATCCCAAAATGAAATCAAGGGGAATCCGAAGTCTGAAGAAACGTGACTGGACTATGCATTGAGCAGCCAGATGTGTACGCGCTGGTACATTGTCTCCTTCTGAGAAGGAGAAAAGCTCGTTTATTTTTACTTCTTACAGAAGACTGGTGTGGTTTTTTTTTTTTTTTCTAGCATAGTTGTATTCATACAGCTATAAATAAATGAGCATATTAACAATTCTCTTACATTTTTTTCTGTGTAAATATGAGAACAAAGTTCATAAAATTCAGTACATATAGCCATTTTTCTCCCACTCCTCTTCTAAAATGCTGTTATCAACAGTACCAGCAGCAAACAATGCCTCTGAACAGATTCATAGTGCACAAGACAGCTGGCTATATGGACCCTGAAAGGTAGAGGACAGTTCATCTTTTTGGCAAGAAAGAATTCCATAAAATAAAAGGAATTGGGCATTTAATCTGTGAAGATTTTAGCATAACAAGAAGTGCTATATAAACATACAGTTATCCTAGCCAAAAGAAGAGAAATATTAGTTATCTAATAAATGTATTTGTAAGAAATATAGTTCACAGAAGACAACTTATTTTTAGAGGTTTCATTTAAAAAAAAAATCTTAATTTAAATTACTCGAGCAACATTTCTATTTCAACTGGGTTTTGACTGACTTAAAGCATTATTCTGATAAATAACAAGACAGTTGTATCTAGATCCGCTAGTATTCTGGCTTAGCATGTTCCAGCGTAAGAGTGGTATTTAAATAATCTTTGGTCGCTGAGGTAGGCACAGATTATAATAGGCATCCTTGCTCCAAAACTCCGGGCCCTTCCATCCACACCAGCCCTGTCCAAGAAAAAGCAAGACAGCGTTTACATCTACTACGAATTCTGTTTTTCCTATCTACTACTATTGGATCTATTTTATTTTACTAATTTTAATCTAAGCTGTATGAATTCTTTTCAAATATCTGTAGAATGCAATGACACACAATTTTCAGAAAGTTCTCTACATGCCTGGAAACACACTAACGGAAAACACTTCACTGAGTCTCTCTCCCCCGCCTCCTTAGTTCCTAAAAAGTAGCATCTTCCCCCCCGCCCCTTCCCACTACCTTCTGCTGCTACAGAGACCAACATTCTGAAACTATCATTCTCACCGCTTCCATTTCTCATCTTGAATCCTTGCCTTCTTTGGTAATAGTCGATATTTCAGAGCCAAACAGAGCTCTCAATATCAGAAGGTGTGCTGTCAATCACAATTTAGCAGAAAAACAGTCTAACAAAGCTCTTAAATTTGCAGAGTACCGCATAATGATATGAGGTGTGTTTGAAGAACAGAACTACAAACTTACAGTCCACCTCAGTTCCTCCCCTCCCCTGCCACTTCTGATGAGGAAAGGGGGTTCTGCATGTGTTCTATCCTCCTGGACCATTCCTGAACACCTTGTAGCTGTAACAGCCCTTGGTTCTACGTGTTTGTTGGAAATGGTTTCTTTATTCATTTTCAGCTTGGTCATTATGGGGAGAGCAAAACGTTTCTTCAACAGCTTTTCTAGTTGGGCCCAACCCAGGGGTATTAAATACAGATATGAAATAAAAGTTGCTACTTGCAACTTAATACAAAGAACAGAAAAGAAGTTGATTATTTAACACCTGTAGGATGATTTAGCCGCTTCACAGATTAAGTTTCTGACACTATGTTTACTGTTTTGTAACGTGCCATGTCATTCCTTTTAGTAGCTTTAAATACGGAAATAACATTACATACCCTTTGGTTCTTTAGTGTTTTCCCAGATTTTCCAAAACAGCTCAGTACCCGCCCTTTAAACTTAGTTCAAGGCCTGATTTGAGAATGCCTAGTGTTGGATTTATTTAAAAGTTTTTTAAGTTTTAAATAAATGGTTATCTTTTCTGCTTCAGTAACATCATTTTACAGGCTGAACAGATTTATCTATTCCATTCAAAATACCACACGCATTTATTGTACGTACTACTGGGTAAAAGGGGAGATGGTTTAATTCAGAGACAGTAAAGAACATTTCTTTGTACTTTAATAACTTTACGTAGTTGCTGACCCAATAGATGTTATCTTCTCCAAAGACACTGTTTCAGAAACTAACAATAAGTAGCGTATATGCAGGATAACCGGGTTCAGGACTTCCTCCATAAGGAACGGAGAAGCCATGGAATGGCCAATTTGTATTTGGCTGTACTTTATTTGTTTAATGCCAAAATATATGTATATACATACAGAAGTGTGTGTGTATACATACGTGTGCATATGCATCAAGCCTCACCTTTTCCAAAATAACATGCAGATCTTCTCCTCCAGTGTAATGTGGGTCTAGAATCAAATATTTTATGTGCCCTGTAATCTCATTCCAAGCCACTCCCAATATCGTGTGAGCCAAAACACCTCCACCTAAAATAGGAGGAACACAGATTGCTAAAAATTTTTCACAGAGATTGGCTAAATGTGCAAGCCTAAAATAAAAGTACATCAACACTTTCTATTAACAAATTAGCTTGGTTATCAAAATGATTCTAAAGCTGTCCTACATAAGATTCTTCATATTATTAAACGACATATCTTTACTACAGCTAGGGAAGGTTCCTTATTTTTACTTTACTTACTACCACTAGAGAATTTACTTTCCAAATTTCTTCCATATCAGCGAGGCGGGTTAAATCCTCAGCACTTCCACCAGATGAAGTCAAGAACACTTCAAACATCTGTTTTGCTCACTTTTTCTTTAAAGAAACTTGACTGTAGAAAAGGAATCTGGAAAACTTGCCGGTTGTAAAAGGACTAAAATTAGAACAGAAATCAATTTCTGGATAAGGGTTATCTGCTGTTTTCTACTAAGTTCCATCAATGGATATTAGGGGCAGAGTAGTAATTTCTGACTCCCCTTTCTCTAGCCTGAAACAGGGAAAGGGGATATTTTGATGAGCTGGCCACAGGCTGACTCTTGCACGTTTCTTTCAGATAGCATGAGGAGTTTATGTCCTTGGGATACTGCAGTAATAACCCCACGCAACAGTCAGGAATTGCAAAATTCCCCAAAAAACTCCAGCAAAAAAAACCCCAAAACAAACCCAAAACCCATGTCAAAAAGCCAACCTCTGCCCCCCCAACAACAACAACATTAAACGAATCCACAAGAGAGCATTACAGGGAAGGATAAGCTACAGACTGAAAGACTTTTCAATACAGGATCCTAAATTCTTGAAATTCGGACAAACAGGCTGCTGAAAGGACAAGCATATTTTGTATCAAAATCTGGACTTTGGCACCTCTAATTTGAGAGATTAACACTATCTTTATGGAGTGCCAAATATGGATTGCAAAAATTGCTAAAATTAAGATTTTATTAAAGCAGCAAATGATATTTTCTATATTCTTCATTTTCTAAACGACAGCTCTCTTGGAAACAGCTCAATTAAAGTTACGGCGCTCTTACGAATGGCATTTCTTATGTTACCAACATTTCAGATTATTAAAACTAGTCTTAAAAAGAATTTGGATAATACCCGTCTCTTCAAAGCCAGATAAACACCACTCTTCTGCAATGGGAAGTTTTAGGGAACTGTATGTATGAACCCCTGCTCCTCTAGAGTCAGCTCTCAAGTTCTGACTTTAACAGCAGTTTTTAAGAACACCATTAGGATTGACTTTAGGTTTAATGCTGAGCTTGGGAGAAATACAGTTTAGTTTGGCTGGTATCTTTTCACTCAGTATTGTTTTCCAGGCTCCCTTGGGAAAAGCATGATTTTTAATTCATCTAGAGTTTTGATTAACTCTTGCACAGTAAACTGAATGAGTTCTAACTGAAACAAAAGTTAGCATAGGGAAGCCACGCACTTTCATTGGCATTCTTCGATACTCGAGCACTTACCAATCATAACTGGAGTTCCTTCAGTCTTGAAATGATTAGCAAGCTCTCTTCCCTGCAACGCTAGTTCAGAACCCTGGCTAGGTAAGAAAAACAACAAATTTGTCATCCTCACTACGCTTAATTCTCTAACCATCCATTATACTTGTTAACTGCATGGGTAACCGATTAGAAAGCGGCTTAGAGTTTTTCTGTGTAAACATCCTGGGACAATCTGAAAAAAAAAGTGTTTTTAATGCAACTTACAGATTCTTGTTGGACCAATGGGTCTGCTGTAAGCCCAGTTGCCACTGGAGCACCTGGAGTCACCCAGCTTCTACAAAGCGTCTGCTGCTTGTCTCCCACAGTGGGGACAGCTGGTAAACCCCAATGGCTCTCTCCAAGTGGCTGAAAACCAGACTGGCTACATCTGTCAGCAAGGGGGGGGGGGTCTGAAGTAACAGAACTTCATCAGAAACACAACAAAAATAAGGTGTTGATAAAGGTGTTTATAAAGACGTCTCTTAAGATAGGTTTCCACTGTAATTGCACAAGCAATTGCAGTACTCATACCCAAGCTGGCTTTAAAAAAATCAAGCCTCAAGTAAGATTAGTAATCTGTTCAAAGCAACACCGAACTTGGCTTTGTTATAATCTCCCTGCTTCCCTTTTCAACTACGGGGACCAGCCACAGACAAAAGTAGTCTATATGGAAGAGAAAGGCACACACACAATACACGCACATACTCCAGAATTCGGACCTGAAGACATATGTCTGACGGAGACTCATATTCCCCTTAGAAGACTGACAGTACTCCCAAAAGCGGTGACAGAAGCTAGGCAAGGAAATTAATACAGATACTAAAGATATCTTGTCTTTTTATTTCTTCGTATAGTGGTTAACCTTTTGAAAAGCCAGAGGAAAGCCTGCGTGCCTGCTTCTCAAGTTCCTGGAGAGATGGATTAAATGCAGACAGAATACAAAACTGGAACTCTGGGAAATGGTGCATTTAAAATAATGGCTTCAGTACCAGTGTTGCTGGTGCAGCTGTGAAGTCTTATTTCCATAAAGAGTTAGAGGTGCTAGCTGCAAATAAGCCCAAGACAAAAATGCTATCCACTGCCAGTGACCAGCTGAAAAAGATGCACGACACCACTTCTTCTCAGTACGGTAGTGATGTTGGCTTTTCATAATCCTGAAAAACATTGGTGCTCCCTTGTAGCAGCACTATGAGCAATTCTACCCAGTTCACAAAGGAATCTATTCTATATTCTTATGTGCAGGAATAAAAACCTTCATACTGGCAGGGCCTGTCACAGCTGCTACAAATAGCAGGTG